ATTCCTGCACACTGGGCTGTTGTCCCACTCTTGTTCTCATTGTTTCCTTCGGTGACTTAGCCACATGCCATCCTTACCAGCTGTGTGGCTTTGGGTAGCTTACTTAACCTCTCTGTGCTTCAGTTGCCTCATCTCTAAGCTGGGCCCAGCAGTTCTACTGCTACCTCCTAAGGACTGGTCTAAAGCTCCTAAAGGTGGGAACATCACCTGGAAGCTTGTTAGAAATGCAACTCAGATTGTCTGGGGGTGGGTCCAGTGCTTTCTGCCTTTCCAAATGATTCTGATGTCGCCCAAGTATTTGAGGACTGCTTATTCAGTTCTGTGAGTGACAGGGCATCCTTCAGAGGGGGCCGGTTTCTGGCTCAGGGGTGCCCTAGGCTAGGTGGGACACCCTTCTCTCTCTGCTAACCTGGTTTCCTTTCTCTTAGGATCCCAAGTGATGGTGGTTTACACGGAGGACCAGCTGTGCGCTGTACGACTGGTTAGCACGGTGGAGCCGGTAGCGGCACCTGCTGGCTGGCGGGTGTGAACTGCAGGATCTCAGCGTCTCAACCCAAGAGGAAGCATGTCTAAAAAAGGCCGGAGCAAGGGCGAGAAGCCCGAGGCAGAGACAGATGCTGTGCAGATGGCCAATGAGGAGCTGCGGGCCAAGCTGACCAGCATTCAGATCGAGTTCCAGCAGGAGAAGAGCAAGGTGGGAGGGCAGAGGGCTCTCCTAGAACTGTACTCCCTGCATGCCGGGCTTGTTCTCAGGCTGGGGTGGGACTGGGCACTTCGCTCTGTGGGCCTCTGCTTGCTCCTCTGTTCTTGGTGTTCTGTAGTCTCTGTAATACAGACAGCTGAGTGTGAATCCTGGCCCCGCAAGCTACTTCACTCCCCATGTTTAATTTCCTTAACCTGCAAGATAGAGTCATGGCAATACCACTAGGTGGGGCTACACTGAGATCTCGTCCTCTGTAAGGAGCTGGGAGCAGAGCCTGGCTCCCTCACAGGAGCTGCTGTGCTTCGCAGGGCCGCTACGTGCTTTGGAGCCTGGAGAGAACAGCCTAGGTGTGCACTGCTGGCACAGTGGGAGTCCTCTTAGAACAGCCTGTGGCAGTGGGAGTTCAGCTTTCTAGTCCTGTGGGCCTGGCTTCCCACCTCAGCCTGAAGTGTCCCAACTCCCGTACACCCATCTGACATGTGGTGTAAAAAGAACTACCTGGCCCGAGGTTGTCATAAAGACCCGATGTCACAGATACAGGTAAAAAGCCTGGTCCGTATCTGATCCAGACGCTGCCCTAGTCCTTTTCGTTGGCATAGTTCTGACACGGGTGGGTTTGAGGGCAAAGCAAGCCAGGTGAGTCTGGAAAGAAGCTGCCTCCATGCCGAGCACAGACGGGATGGAGACTCGGCCTAACTCCTGGACGACTGGCGCAGGGGAGGCTCTGGCCTGGCTAGGGAGATGCTCTGAGGTGCCCTCTGGCCCCTGCTGGAGCACCAGAGTGATGGATGACCCTGCCTGGTGAACTGCGCAGGTATCACTGTCTGGTGGGAGCTGGAACCCTGACAGCAGCTGGAATATTGTGGGGGCCAGCCTCCAGGTGGGGTGGGGCCTGGGCCCTAGCTCCCTAACCAGCCCAGGATGGCTACTCAGAGAGCGGAGGCTGAGTCCTCGGGGACAAATGCACCCTCTTCTCTCACCGGGCATCCAGGGGTCCAGGCCTAGGGCAGCCAGTCTCTTCCAGCCACGGCTGCCAGTGATGCCAGTGTGTCCAAGCTCAGCACAGCTCAGGTGGGCCTCCCCTGCTGAGACCCCTCGGGCTGCCAGCTGGGGCTGCAGGGCTGGCAGGTTCCAAGGAACTAGCAATGGCAGTGTGGCTACAGAGGAGGCTGCCCAGTCACAGGCGGCCAGGGCTCCTTCCCATGTCTGCCACCTAACCTACCTGAGGTCTTGGGCAAGCCACGTGGCCACCCCTGCTCTTTCCCATCCACGCAGTGAGTACCTCTAACGTGTCTGCCCCTCGGTGCTTTGAGGGATGAATGAGAGAGTCGTACATAGGACCGACACGCTGCTTGTCACACACACTCTGCAGTCAGGGTGACATTTATGGGTCTCCTGTGCAGACAGCACAGGTGCTCCAGAGGGCGTCATGGCCCTTGCAGTGACCTGTAAAGTCAGATGGAGTTGTCCCCATTTTATAGTGACAGACCGAGGGTTGGAGAGGAGCAGTGACGTGCCCAGGTGTATTAGCTTGTACCGTAACTAAGACGGGGGGCTTAGACAACAGGAATTTGTCGTCTCATAGTCCTGGGGGCTGAAGTCCAGATCAGGGTGTCACCAGGCCTGGTTCCTCTGAGGCCTCTCGATGGCATCTTCTCCCTGAGCTTTCACATGATCCGTGTATGCCTGTGTCCACATGTCCTCCTCCCTAAGGGCACCAGCCATACCGGATCCAGGCCCACCCTAACGGCCCCACTGTGCCCTAGTCACCTCTGTAAAAGCCTGTCTCCAGGCCTGGTCCCATTCTGAGATCCTGGAGGGTAGGACGTCGGCTCACGAGTCCCGGGGATGCGCGGGTCAGCCC